ACTGCCAAGGGAGATGGTGGAGTCACCATCCTTGGAGGTGTTCAAGAAACCACTGGACATGGCAATTAGTGCCATGGTGGTGATCAAAGATGGACTCTATGAATGAGAGTCTTTCCCAGCCTAAATGATTCTGTCATTTTGTAGCAACACTATAATAAAATTGTAATAATTTCTGTTGCAGTGTGACGCCCATCTAGGCCACGTGTTTGATGATGGACCCACACCTTCTGGGCAGAGGTTCTGTATCAACAGCGTTTCATTAAACTTCAAATCAGGCTCTGGTCAGTGAGAAGTGGCTCTCTCTGGCTTGCAGAACATTCTTTCTCTGCTCATACAGCATGCTTGTGAAAAACTCTCTTGCTTTTAATATATAACTCAAACTTTAGTATTTATGCTGTAGTAGCTTTGTTTTCCAGCTGCTATAATTGTTGATAAAAAACATATTTTTGTTTTCACTCTTTGGCAGTCTGTCTTTTCATGGTTAGCGTGGTGTGTTGATCTGCTTATTGTATTTTTTAATTAAAAAAAAAAAAATCTGTGCAATAGTTCACATTCACAGCTTTCATCATTAACTGTATTGAGGCTGCTGAAATGAGGTGCTCTCCTGAACCTGACTGACTATTCTGAGCGTAGTTGTGGCACTCAGGAACACAGATGTACATGGCTGACCATGCTAAACTTATACTTCTATAAAATCATCCTATCCTTCTAAAGGGAAGCAAAAATAACATGAATCTTCAAATAAGGTTTGAGGGGTTTTTTTTCCCCCTGATATAAGAGACCCTTAGCTGGGCCAAGTGACTTTTCTGTGAACCCATAAAAGCAAAGTCCTGAAGGAGGACCTAATTAAAACTGTTTCAGGCAATGCAACCAGTGGAGACATGAAGTCTTTTTTCTTTTAAATCAATTATTTTGATTCTGTATCCAATAGCAGAGTTGAAATAGGTTTTTCTCCAGAAACTTCTCTTACAGCAACTTTATGATAATAGTGTAATGATATGTGTAGTATTTTCAGACTTCTGTTATCACCTGTGTATTTCAGAATACAAAAATAAAGATTAATATGGAATTTACTGTATTTGGGGGAAACAAATCAACATAAAAAACCAGCCTTGGTAAAGTGTTGCTTTTGATGCCTTGTCTATTCTTCCTTGTACAAGTTTGTAAATACTTCTGCATTCTCCCAATTGTCATTACAGTTTGCCCTAACAGAAAAATAAATCCTATGTCTGTTAAATTGAGCTTTCCTTCCTTCAGAATTTTTTCCAGAGAAAATAATCTCTGACTCAGAACATCAGCTTCACTAAACTGGCTGGGTTTAAATGCTTCCCTGCTGAGAGTTACTAGGCAACATCTCATTTGGCTTTACCTATAACAGCCTGTTTCCACTCTCCCCACTTTGGTTGCCTCAGTGATAAAAAGGGTGTGTTCATTTACTAGTGTAGTCTTAAAGCTGTTTAATGTCTTCAGAAAACGGACCTCTACTGCATTGAATTTATTTCTGCTCCTTCCATTTTGGAGCTCTGTGGGTTTTCATTCTCCTCTGCTTTCTACAGGGGAACTCTACAATTCCCTGACATCAAAACTCTACAAATCCAAAAACATCATAGAAGCAATGATCACTACAGCCAACTTAAACCAGAATGGCACAAAGCCCACCAGAGGTGTGAAGCAGCATGAGTGAAGCCAGCACTTGGTGCTACTGATTTTATGTAGTGCCTCAGCTGGTGCCAGTCCCATTGCCATCAGAGGTGTCTGTTAAAGCACTAACACTCTGCTTGCTGTGCCTGTGCTGCATCATGCTCTGCCTCTCAGGGTTACCCTTGCATCACCCACTGTATTTCTGTCTGCTCTGGCCAGGCTGTGCATGCCCAGCCTGCTCAGGTCTCTGCTTTCAAGGGTCTTCACAAGTTGTACAGAAATCACATCTTTGCACTTTATCCTGATATGCTTTCATCCACTGCTTGTATGTTTGTCTTAAGGTTTAAAGATTATTTGACCTTAAAGGCATTCTTTAGTCAGGCAGCCTTCTCTCATCTCCTCATGATTCCTAACAGAAGAGGGTTCTCTCAGAAAGGGGGAAGGTTTTCCCACAAGGACTTCTGTGTTCAGCCACGTGCTGGTGAAAGAAGACAGCACCTGCCTTGAAAGAGTGACATTTGGCTGGGATACCAATGGAAATGCTCCTCACTTCTGCAAGTGGCCTAAAGTAGAACAGAACTGGCAAAATACCTGGGTTTTTTTCCTGTCCCCAGAGATTCCAGGTATCTCTGACACCTTTTACGAATGAAAGTGCCATAAAAACAAAACAGACCATGAAGCTGACAAAACAAGTATCCACACAGACCACACTCAGTTTAGTACCTTGGATGGATGGATGTGGTTGGTGGAGATCAGCTCTAAGTAAACTGGCAAGTTAGTACCTACTACTCACAGAGGGAGCTTGCCAGGGCAGAGAGCACATTTATTTCACATCTACAAAGATCATTGTATGCAACTGGACATTTGGGGTTAGCAGCAGCTGGTGCCTCCTCACTCATGGAGCAGGATTACCTGAGGAAAGAGAAGGAAGGCCCCAGTTCAGCTTGTGCAGTGTTACTGATACATAATCAATGAACACATCCATAGCTCCAAGCACAGCACCTGACCTGCACTACACTGGTATGTCACCAAGCAAACACATCGAGGCCCCCACTGAGGGGGGAATCAGACACAGAGATAAGCAGCCTTGTTCTGCTTCATATGAAACAGGAGAAAAGAGGGAAATTTAACCATGTGTGTAAAATCAGAGCAATGGTACATCACCTTTCAGTGCGATGTACTGGACCTTTGGGATCTCTGACCAAAGGCTCTTTGGGGCAATGCCCTTCATTATCTTCTGTCTCTGTGGTGCCAACCACACCAGGACAGCCCCAGCTAAAAGCCCAAAGTGTTCTAAGATCATGAAAAATAAAGACCAATAATAGTGGAAGACATTATCAAGGAGTGTCACAGGCTACAAGAATTTCCTCATGTATCAGCAATTACTTTGTTCCACCATAGTGAATAAAGAGCAGTTCCTTTTCCAAGTAGAATAAACTCTGCCAGACAACTGCAGATTCATGTTCCATTCTTCACATCTGAGGAGTTTTTATTATGGTTATTTCATTAATTAGTTTCAATGTTGATACTTTTTATCCCACTGTGGTTTTAAATAGCCTTTTTATAAATCCTAAGTGAGGTTTCTACATAATTCTTATGAGATTTTTTCCGTCTAAAATATACTATTTAATTACTTTCTTAGTCATTACAACATCTCTACAAGGCAAGTAACTATTCCCTCTTTTGGTGAGGGAAGACTTGATGAGAAAAAATTATTGACTTGCTCAAGACTTCAATTAAATTTGGAGTCAAGCCAGAATTAGACTCTGCATGGCTCATGACGGCATCTATGCCTTCAGACCCTACTTTTTCAAAACCTGTCTTGGTAATGGATTGTTTAGGGGGGAGAGGGTGTAAATTGCCAAAAAAAAAAATGGAAGTAAACTTAGCATATGTTTTTCAGCTATGGTATTAAAACCAGATCTAAGCCAACATAGGCAACTTGGCTAATAAAGAGAAATATTTGACTCTTTCTCAGAGCAAATGTGATAAGGGCTTATTTAGAAATTATAGCGGGGGGGGGGGGGGAGAGAGAAAATAGGAAAGAAGAAGCAAGTTATATTACTAGAAACTTCACTCAGAAGAAAATCAGAATGGGCAGAAATGGGCAGAAATGATAATGTCCATTACTTTAGCTGTGTATCCACAGGATTATAGTGATGCTCTTTTCTACTGCACCATACTGCAAATCATTTGGATTCTTTTTTATGCTTGTGGACAGCCTAGTCTGATTTTGGTCAGAACAGAAAAAGAAGGGAGACTATTGTCAGTGCAAATACAGTATTTTTCCAAACCCTAAACACCTCCAGCATGAGGTGGCTCAGGAAACAGCCTGCATGAGAACAAACAGAAAAATTATCAGCCTGAGTTTTTCTTTTTTTCTGATTATTTAGCTAGTACTCCTAAGCATGTTCATATTTTCTGGTCTTAAATCTTGGCCCTACTTTGTAGAAGAAATAAGCCCTGTGACATGACTCCAATGCCTCCTCTTTAATTCATTTTATGAAGTTTTGCACTGGGCAGTGAAGTGTTTTAAACCACACTCCAGGGCCTGCCCCACCTCCTGCCATACCCGAGTGATGAGCTGATGGTAACACTACACTCAGAGCATGTCATGTACTGCCCAGCACCCGTCACCCTCATGGATTTATTTCACAGCTCTTCACACACAAATGATGCCTCACCCCAGCCCTTTGAGGTAGTGGTGAGCCACACGTCACAGAATTGGAAGCTGAGGGACAGCTGCGGGAAGTGACTCGCCCACAGTCCCCTGGGGCAGGGCAGAGAAATCTGATTAAAGACAGGGTTCTCAAAAGCTCTCCAAGTGTGAGCTGCTGCCAAAATTCACAAAGGCATAGCAGTTTAAAAGCAAAGCGCTTTATTGAAGAAGTGCCCAGATTTTTTCAAGACTAAAAGAATTTGTCTCAAGGCAGGTGTGTCCATGGGGACTGGTTTTAGTAGCACTGAGGAATTTGTGTGGAAGAGATTGGCAGCTTGCCATGGGGCAGAAGAAAGAGAAATGCATGCCCATTATTGCACTCCCTTTTACTGTCTTCTCTTTTGTCGTGGTGTTATTTTTTTCCTGTTGCTCTGCGGTATTCTTCCTCACTCCTCCTCCCAGGGCTCTGGCTTTCTTGACTGCACTCACCCTTACCTTGTGCCTGAACCCTTCTAGCTCCACTCGCTGCCCTTGGTGCCCGAGAGATGAGCAAGCACACGGTCCTGCAGCCAGTCCGGGTCAGCAGCTCCCGGCAGAGTCCGCTGGGCGGGGATCGGGAACAGGATCTGGGGCTTGGATCCCCTGCAGGCTCCGGGGCTCGGATCCCCTTCAGGCTCCGGGGCTTGGATCCCCTGCAGGCTCCGGGGCAAATAAAGGCTGTTCTGCCCTGGTGTACTACTGATGCATGACAAGTAGAAATGTGGACCACAACCAGGTCATCTTTGCTCAGGTGTCATTTGTGGCAGATCAAAAGATGGATCCAGACATCTTGTAATAGCAGGGAAAGGAACAGGAAAGAACAGCAACTGTTGCCCAACTTCTAAGGAAAAGTCAAAGACAAAACAGAGGAAGATGCTGGAGTCAAGGACAAGAAGAATTTGCGTTTTCTTTTTCAGAGGAGTCAGCACTGAAAGGTGATGACACAGCTGGTGGATGTCAGCTGAAGAAATGTCTGTGAGCTCTCAGAAATGGGAGAGCTGAGATCAATCCTCCCTGGTATGAAAGTCTCTTGGGGATAGGTCTGACAGAGACATGGGATGCCTATGCATTTCCTGGGATTACTGAAGGAAAAAGCCTTGTGAAGGGCTAGGATATGAGCAGTGCTAGAAGCAGGTGTTCATGCTTGGGAAGTTCAGGAGATTGACCTCACTGTTAATCAGAATACCAGGTGCAAAATGAACCCACATGCATTCACTGCCCCAGGAATGACCCTCTTCCAATCCAGAAAATGTTCCCTCCCTATTTCAGGCTTTACATTTTACCTCTTAGTCCTGGGCCTCTCCTGAATGCACTTGGGTTCACGCTAGGATCCATTATGAGCAAAGATTGTTAAACCTTGTCATGTACAATATGTCTAGCTGGAGTTTCCTTAGGCCCCCAGAGAAGGAAAAAAGGGGCCTCCATGACACTTCTCCTTGGCAATCGCTAAAATAGCCTCTGCCTCCGGGCTTAGTCTGTAAGAGGGGCATTTTCCAAAACTGGGTCACATGTAACTTTCTATGACCTTGTAGCCTTCACTTAAGTTTTATGAATGAATCTCTATTAAAAGCGGGGGGTAAATGTTTTTCCTTTGTCCCTCTTTCAGTTTACAAATTTGTCTTCTCCTATAGCCAGCTGTTAAAAGATTGGTTCTGCCCCTGCTTTCACCTTTCCTGTTTTATCAGCTGAGACGTCAAACTGAGGGCCTGACCACTTGGTGTTAAAGATCCATGGCTTTTTTTGTAAGGCAGTGGCCTGGCCAACTCTCTAAATGCTGCCTTGTCTTACAGTTTGAGTTAGCCTCTCATACCCTAAATCATGAGGCATGGTTGCCTTGAGCAATGAACAGCTTCTCTCTTCTAATTCAGGGGTGACAGCAGTTAAGCAATAGGTGAAAGAAACTGCATCATTCTGGTGTATGAGCACTGCTGAGACGCTTGATTCTTTTAGCTCTTGAAATTGTTTGACAATGAAAAAGGGCTGTAGAAATACTTATGATGGCTTATTATTTTGATCCTGTTGTTATTTTTATTTCTATTACCTCTGTGCCAATTTATCTTTTCTGCAAAATTTCACTTCTTGCTCTACACCTGCCTCATGAATAGTGAGAAATTGCCAATTGATAAACGTTGGAGGAAGCAGATAAACTTCTCCAAAGAGGCAATAAAATTCCTCTGCTCCACCCATACCACAGTATTTAACAAAGTCCCCTAAGCACCTCTCCACAAATAATTACAGCTGATCAGAGGTGTGCTGACTTCCCAGCCTGTGGCAACCACTACAAGGACCTATCCATATCTGCCATCAGAATCACTCATCTGGATGGAGAAAGGCAAATCAAGCTATTAAATGGAACCATGGTAGGGCGAGGGGGCAGTCTGTGCATGCTGTGGAGATGTGACACAGACAGGATGATGAGACTGGGCTGCTCCACAGCAGGAAGACTTCACAGGGAGAGGTGTGGTAGAGGGAATAGGTGGGAATATGAGGTGGAGGGTGTAGCATGAAGGAGGTAACATTCTGCCTGAGAAAGATAACAGGGCAGAGTTTTGGGATCCTCTATGGAGGTATGGCATATGGTTGGGTGGTTTTGGAGGGAGATGGACAATGACTACTGAGTCTCACCTCAAATAAATCTAATATCCCAAAGTGTTTTGACAATTTTCCCTCGAAATACATTGTGACTCAAATGTCTGCTCTGCAGTGACCTCTAGGGCACTTTTGCTTTCAAACCTCCTGCAACATTCAATCACCTCGAAAAAACAGCTTCCCCCAAACATATTATATGGATCTATTTTCTCTAAGAGTGGCTTGTGCCATTGCCAGGCTGAAAGTCCTTCTTCACATAATGCCCTTCACAGGGCATGCAGAGAAGAGAGGCTTGTTATCTCCAGTTTGCTGGTGCATCAAAGGAAGTTGCAGATGGTCTGCATGAATCTGATCCAACACTCTTTGAAGTCAATGAAACCCCTTCCCTCGACCCTTCATTCAGTTCTCTCTCGGCTCCTTATGCAAATCATAGTCTATTTTGTGTGTCTTTCCAACAAAACCAACCTGTTCCTCCCAAGCATACCCCTTTGTGGAACCTGATAGCAAACCTTTCAAAATTCTTGGTGTTCTGTTTTTCTGATGAAGCGTGATTTGAAAGTAGATTGATGCTATCCAAAGCAGGGGGGAAGAAGTAAGCCCCAACCCTACAAATCTGTTTAAGTACTAATTATGGACAGCTATTATCACTGACTGCAGCAGGACTGCTCACCTGGGTAACAGCCAGGAGGAATAGGCTTCAGAGAGGAACCTGATGAAAATCAGACACAATGCTGATGAATGCAGGCCACTTGATGCAGAAGGTTGTCAGGAAGCCAAACTGGAAAGTGCTGTCCAAGCCTAAAATGAAATTGACTGCATTTGCTACAAACAAACTAACAAACAAACAAACTGATGGATGGAAGGACAGAGTGCATAAGTCCTAGAAAATTCAGGAGGAAAATGTTGAAAAATTAGACCAAAATTCGCAATGAAGGCTAAACCAAAAAACGGGCACCCCTAATTGTGATGCCTGGGATACAATCCTAATGCTTTGTGCCTTACAAGATAGTCCTCATGTATTCATGTGCCAACTGCCCCCCCGCCCCCCCTTAACAATTAAAAATCTGGGCTACGGATTAAAGTGATAGCAGGTGGCAATCTAATTACTATCAATCTTACATCTGAATCTCTCATTTGTCATATAAGCCTGGCAACAGCTGGCTCTCAACCCTAGTTATCCTCGTGGCTGTTCCAACAGGTTCAAAGAAGGTGCGGAGGGATGGTCCCTCATCCGCACGCCCCAAGCAGCGAGGGGACAGGGGGTGTGCAGGTGCTGTGACCAGGCGGAGGCAGCACCAGTCAAACCCTTCTCTCTGTCTCCTCGCTGGGGCCCTGGCAGCGGGATCGGCAGCGGCGCCGTCCCCAGGCTCGCCCCGCATCGGTGCGGGCTGCAGGCACCGCGGGGCCGGGCTGCGGCCGCAGCTGCAACTCGCGGGGCAGCAATGCAGCAAATGCAGCGCAGCAAATGCAGCACAGCCATGCTCAGTGAGAGCCGGGGAGAAAGCAAATCCCGGTTTTCACGGTGCTCCAGGCGCCGCTCCCGGCCGGCTCCGAGCGGCGTCGCGAGGTGGCGGCAGAGCCCCGAGGCTCCCGCTCCTGGCCGGCCTTTCCCGCGGGGAACCTGGAGAGCTGGCCTGGGAAAAGGTGCAATCGGCTATTGTGCTGTGAGTTTTGGGGAAACTGTGTTCACACTTCACGAAAACTTGGTCGATTTTTGCAGTTTCCTTCTGAACAGGTCACACTTCCACCCCGGAGTGCAATCCAGGCATAAACTTTTTTATATTCTTGAGAGCTCTGTGTGATATTTGCCTCTGGAATTAAAATGTGGAGGCTGGCAGCACCATCAGCATATTTTCTGCCATCATTTGGTGAGAGACAGTAACCTTTGAAATGAAGAGGGATAGATCTTGGGTAGGGAAGGAGAAGAAGGAGCAAAAGACAGTGACTCAGGCACAGGGCAGGGGAGAAAGGGAATGAGGTGCCCACTGAAGTGAGGCAGCATGGACAGGGCTTTCAGCAGGTAACTGGAATGAGTGAAGAGACTGAGGTCACATCATAGAATCATAGAATGGTTTGCGTTGGAAGGGACCTAAAGGATCCAACCCTCCTGTCATAGGCAGGAACACCTTTCACTACACCAGGTTGCTCTGAGCCCCATTTGGTGTGGTACACATCAAGAGATGGGGCATCCACAACTTCTCAGGCAACCTGTTCCGGTGCCTTACTACCTTTACAGTAAATAATTTCTTCATAAAGTCTAGTTTAAACCTACTCTCATCTTACAGACATTCTCTCTTGTCCTAGCACTACATGCCATTTTAAATAGTCTGTCTCCATCTTTCCTGTAGGCTCCCTTTAGGTACTGGAAGGTCACAGTTAAGTCAGCCTTCTCTATTCCAGCCTGAACAATCCAAACTTTCTTAGCCTTTCCTCATAGGCACTCAATCCCTCTAATAAACTTCATGGCTTCCTCTGGACTTGCTCCAAAAGGTCCATGTCCTACCTCTGCTGGGGATGCCAGAGCTGGATGCAGCACTGCAGGTGGAGTCTCACCAAAGCAGAGCAGAGGCAGAATCCCCTCCCTTTAGCAGCTGCCCACGCTGCTTTTGATGCAGCTCAGGGCACGTTTGGCTCTCTGGGCTGTGAGTGCACATGGCTGGGTCATGTCCAGCCTCTCACCCATCAGCAGCCCAAGCCCCTCTGGGCAGGGCTGCTCTCACCTGTCCATTCCCGGCCTGTGTTAACACCGTGGATAAAAGCATCTCTGAGGGCTCCTCAGAGTGTGTAACCTGGATGTGTCTTGTGGCTCAAACTATTGTTGCTAACACAATGCTTCAAAGACATGGGGATATGTTTACCAGGTACACTCCATTTGCAACTGATAACAGTAAAGAACTGGCAGTGTTATAGCCAAAAGTACACCTTAAAATGTTATTGTCTCTTGGCTGCTATTCCTAAACAATTGCAGTCCCCAGGGATCCAAAATAAAGGGAGGCAGCATCTCTGCCCTCTAAAGAGAGGACAATCTGGTGTGTGAAACACCAGGCAAAGCCCTGGGAATGCAGCTGAGCCGTGAAGACCTATGGAGGATTTGCAATGAATGCTGGCATGGCAGAAAGAGGGCACTGAATTCACACGCATTGCCCTAAGCCTTTGTGTGCCAGTGAGCAGGGCCAGCTCTCGCTGCCCAGTCCCACAGCCATAATTAAGGGATTCCCACTCGCCATGAACAGGTGCAGCCCCACCCAAACAACAAGGCTGCAGACAAAAGATTACAAATAAGGCCTAAATCCCTCTACTGTACATTGCAGTGGTGAGGGGGGACAGGTGGCCTAGGATAATTCAGGTTCAGTCCCCATGCTGCGGTGGGAAATTGCAGCAGCTCATTTGGATCTGATAACTCCTTGCTGACTGTTGATTGGGAAGCCAATGGAGGCATGGATTAAATCAAACAGCCTGTAAGATACTGGCAGTGGAACTTCTCCTAAAGGTTTCTGACAGCTTGCAAATAAAGGCACAGATGATGGAGAAGCTGCTTTCTCAAGCTATCTCTTTCTCACACATATTCTCTGTCACTTTTTAATTCATTCATTCATTAAGCTATAATTGATTATAAAATCCTTGTACATCAGATGAGCCTGACTGAATACATGCAGGGCATTTGCAGTGCTCATACACCTTTGGGACTTGCTATGTTCAGAAGAGGTCTTGAGAGTTTTGGTAACAAAAAAAATTTCAAAATATTACATTGTCATCTGATATGATATTTACTGTTTTCCAAATCTATTGCATTTGTCTGTTGTATATTGTTGTGTTAGGCATGTCTTGCCAGCAGTGTCCTGTCTGTAGATTTGGAGGGAGGTGTTACCCAGCTCATGCAAATCTCCAGTTTCACAGTCTGTACGACTTAAGGCACCTGCCTTGGGCTCATGTGGCTCTGTTACCACAGATCAGTGTGCCCTGCAGGCTTTCCTCTGGTTATCCTCACCTGAGAGTGAGTGAAAGGCTGTTTTCTGCATTTAGTAGGTAGGGCTGTGTTGTGAAACCCTGGATTCCTCTGAATCAACAAAAACACCCAAGCTAAAGTTTAAAGAGTGTAAGTTCTCTTTGTAGTTGTTAGTGACCTACAAGCATGTAAAGATGGTCTAGAAGTAATTTGAAGTAATTAGCTTTCTACATGGCATATCTTCAGTAGTGCTGAAAAAGACTAAGTATGGACCAGACTGAGTGCAAGGTGCTTGAGTACTTCAAAACTCTTGTTAGGCTTTTGAATCATTTAAATGGCAAAATGCCTTGAGAAACATGTAGCTGCATAAATATGAGTCCTTTAACTTGCAGGTAAATTGTTTCAGTTCCTTCTGTTGCCAGTGAGCCAAGACTTTAGTGGCCACCAGACTTCGCCTCAAAAACATTCCCTCCTGAGGGTGGTTTGTTGCACCCATATTTTCCCCTTGACTCTTAATGAACACCTTATACTTAGGAGGGCAGTTACATTAACATAGATGTAGATGCCCTGTCCTGTTTGAAATGTTCTCAGGTATCCCACAAGGATAGCCTGCATGGAAGTTCCAGCTGAGCCTCCAGAAACGTGCAGGTCTCCTGCTGATCCTGTGTCATGTCTGCAAGCCCCAAGTTTGGGATACTATGTCCTAGGTCATATATGTCATTGCTCTGTGTGAGGGACGGAATCCCTCCCCTAATTAGAGTCCAGCTCTTCACTGGATGAATTAATGAGGATTCACACCCTAAGTTACTTGCTTGAGGACGTTGATGCCAGAGGCATGTGTTTACAAGCCTAAAAAAGAGCAAAGAAGAGGGTCCTGGGAAGTATAAATCCATCAGCGTAAACATGATAATGAGAGTAAATTATTAATCAATTTGTAATCACATAAGTGATAAGAAGGCAGTAAAACATATCGGCATGGATTAATCGAGAACAAATCCCTTCAAATTAATTCAGTGTTCTTATTTGAAGGACTAACTAGCCAAGTGTGTAAAGGCATATATGTAAAATATGTCAATTCTGTTAGTGTCCAAAGCCTTTACTCTTCTTATAAATAAAACCATTTAATGACATCTGCATAAAATGGGGATTTAAATGAGCCTATAATATTTGAATTATATGAAAGTGCTCAACCACAGTTTACTGTCAAAGCTGGATGTGCCAAATAGAGTCCTGCAAGTGTCTGTTGCAGCTCCAATGTTTTCAACAATAAATAGGCTACGAAAAGAGGGAAAGAGCGTGCTTAATTCAGCTTCTGAGAGCACTGGCTGGGAGTGGTTGATTTAGAGAACAGGACTGAGATTCACATTGATCTTCACAGATTGGAGAGCTTGCCTGAAATCAATAAGCTGCACTGTAACAAGACAAGTACAAAATGCAATCTTGGGAGAAAAGACAGATCAAATGCATGATTAGTGAAATGAATAACTGATAAGGCAGCAGTAGTGCAGGAATGGATCAGCTGGCTGCTGTGAACTATGCACTACACAAAATGGGAGATGCAGAAAAACAAATGTCATTTGAGGGTACACTAACAGCAGTGTTTTGGGTAAAACACTGAGGTAATTATTCTGCTCTACTTGGCACTGGTGAGGCTTAGCCTAAATACAGTTTTGGACACTACACTTGAAGAAATGGTACAGGGAAATTAGCAGCAAACACTACAGAAATGGGTTTGAAGGGATATGGATTTGCTTCGTCTCAGGAAAAGGTCATTCAGAAGAGATATGGAAACAATCTTTGTTGTGAGAAAGTTTTTCATAGAGTGGAATGAACAATGTTCTCTCATGCTTCCCAGTAGGCAAGCCCTGGAGAAGAGCTACCAGGCTAAGTAAAACAGTACTTTCAGCGTGTGGACAATTTCCAAAGGAAATGCAGCATCTCCTTGTGTAGATGTTTTTTGTGTCCCTGACTTGGTTAATAATTTGCCACAAAGATAAAAGCGTCAGGGCTAAATGGATACAGAGATGTGATTTTGCAATGCCTAAATTGTAGGTGCTGGGCACGCAGCCCCAAGGCTCCTGGTATAGTCAGAGGCAGGTGATCAACAAAGAATGTAGGAGAGACCCAGTGGGCTCAGTAGGGAGCCAAAAAATGTCTAACTCTGGGCTGGACAAAAACATAACTGCATTGAGAAGTGGGGGTTGAGGGATCTGCAGCAGAAAACATTTCCTGGAACTGAACAACCATGACAGGTCAGCCATTCTTGTCAAAAGTCATCAAGATAGTTTTAACATGATATTACACCCAAGACTACTCAAAAAACCATCAACAATGTAGAGTATTTCCTTGTAAGAGACACTTGTGAGGTTAGGTGGTAGCTGATTCCTGAGGAATGTGGATTCATGAGGTGCCTTTGGTTTTTCCTGCATCTCTGAGATTTATCTCTTTCCAAGACAGGAATCATCAATTTAAAACTCAGCTCTATTAAGTAGTACCTACTACTCTTAATAAAATTATTTTAGTTTTAAAATCCATTAGACAAGTTCATGGAAGGGAGAGAGAGCGAAATGTATCAAGAGCTCTTAAACACATGGATCTATGCCATGGCTTGGAATAGTAATCTCATTGCTCTTATGGACAAAACATAAAATTTTTTGGGAAGAATTGTAGAACAAAATATTTGTCAGTCATGGAGGAGGAAAGGCATCCCAGCATGGAAGGGTCTTGAACAATCATCAGAAGAAGCCTAGAACTGTGAGAATCAAAATGGCAGAGAAGGAAAGAAATCCAGTGTTAAGAGGTAGCACTTTAGGCACGTGTGTTAAGAACATGTGCTATGGCTGTGACTTGATAATCCTTGGCAGAAAGAGGAGGAAAAAGACCTTGGGTCACTAGCTAATGACGAAGTGGTCATGAGCCACTTAAGGAACATGGCCATGAAAAAGGTAAATGTAACCTTTGCAGTACAGAGTGAGGGATTTTGGCAGAAAGGCAAATGCTGACATCATTCTCCAAGGAGCTGTGAGAACTGTCCTGGACAGCTGTGTACCATTACAGTTCTGGTTATCCTAGAAGATTAAGTTATATGGAGAA